ATGTTCCAAAGACATTAAGCTTTTATAGTAAAATAAAAGGGTGAATTAAGGGAGCATGAGTGAACTAATGCTCTCACTTAAAATAATTTTTAAGATTTTATTTATCATATTATTCCACTTATACAAATAGAATTTTTATATTAAAAAATTAATTTATGAACCCTCTATAGTTTTAGAATTTAAAATTATAAATAGCTATTGAAGGAATATTGATAACATTTTTAAAATAATTAATGTTTGTATGATTAAAAAAATTACAACTTTGACACTATTAAAGAGAAACTCTATATCACCAGCAAGCTCTGTACGATATTGATTTGGAGCAATGTTGTGATACATGGCATTGATTTCATTCTTTGATGGATGTCTGCTCATCAAAGACTACTAGGACTAAGAACGTTGTGTTGAGACCTTCTTTGAGTACATGGAGGTTGAACCAGACAAACAGGTGAAGTATGTTGTTTGTCGGTTGAGAGAAGGTGCTAGTGCTTGATTGGCACAACTGCTGCATATGAAACACAGAGAAGGGAAATGGCGGATTTGGAGTTGGTATAAGATGAAATAGTTTTTGGGCTCGTTTCCGTCCCACTGATTTTGAGCAAATACTTTACATGAAGTATAAGCATTATGGGCAAAGGGCTCGTTCTATAAGTGGATATACAGAAGAGTTCTAGAGGTTGAGTGTATGAAACTATCTCAATGAATCCCATATTCCAATCATTGCAAGATACATTAGGGGCCTAAATGACATCTTATACAATAAATTGGAATTGAGCTCAGTGTGGTCATTATCTCAGGTTATTAATTTCACATTGTAAGCCAAAATGCAACACAGTCGGCATTCAAAATCTCACTCAACTCATCACCAGTTCACTGAATTAGCTGTGGAAGGTAATAAATCCAATAAGCACTGACTAAAATGCCTGCAGCTCTGCCACAAATCAAATTACCCAGCCATCCCAGGTGCGGTTAATAAGGATAATAAACTGAACCCAAAACTTAGAGTACAAACCTGTTAAGCCCAATACACTGTAATGTTTTCAATGTTTCTAATCTGGGCATAAATCTAATGAGTGTCTAAGTTTATGGCTGGAGATGAAGTAGAAGATATATAGATACTAATTCTATTTAAAGATTCATTAAACTATGGTTGTAATGATAATTTTTTTCCCAGGACAATATCAACTTCTAAGAGACTTAAAATAACTTTTGTTGGGTTCAAATTGGACAGACATGAGACTGTTGATGGCTCAATTTCTTCTTAGATAGCTGCTTGTGTTGCTTCAAATTCGTCTTGAATGCTTTTGTTGGTCTTTTTCCTATTATGACAGATTCTCTATCTATCTAAAGTTGTAATTATGAGTTAGAGCTCTTTTGACAAAGTTTTTTTTTCTTAAAAAAAACTTTGAATTTATATTGTGAAAAACTTAGAATCATTCATAATTTTCATTGTCATTTAGAAAGCATATTAATCATTTGAAATGGGCCAGAGCACATTTAAAAGATATGTCATAATTTTACTATCAAAAAATCTGTAGTCAAATGACGCCTTTTTAAGTTAGCCTGCGATCTTTTCTGGTAGAATGTCTTCTGTGCTTTTACTAGAGGGATTCCCACTAGAATATCTTCTTCTTAGTTAAAATAGGAGGCATTTGCTGGTGGAATTTTAATCGGTAGAATTACGATGGAAATTTTTGCAGGAATATACCACTGGAGAGGGCCCTACATCAACGTTTTGCCCCCTACATCATCTAATTAGGTGAATTTTATCTCATGCATCCATTCTCATGTAAAAACCCTCTCTCATTTGCCACTCGGTCTAACTGCTTCCAATCGACCATTCCCAACGATTTTACTCTGTCCAACATCCTCTCAAAGGCTGTTCATCCTCTCTACTTGCCCTTTCACTGGTGTTTAGTAAGTTTTCTCTATCAATCTACTCTCCAATTAATTGAACCGATATTTTTAGCAAAATTATGATGGATAACTCCGTCGCCAATTCTAGAGGAAAAATATGTTGAAACTACTTGTTGAATATTCATAGTTAATTCGGAATCATAGATATTTGAGCTTGTACTTCCTTGAATAGTTTGACAATATCCACCCTGAAGATGGAGGGAATCATAAGAGCTAGGAATGGAGTCAATAGTGTTGTGAAAACTATTATGAGATAATAACTATTGTTTATCATTTCTCTAGTTTTTGAAGAAACATCAAAAGATACTAAAATTATATTTGATGACTCTGAATTTGAAGTAATATTTTACACATATTAAGATTATCTCATCATCGTAGATGGAATAGAGCTTCAACCCACTTATAGTATAAATGTTCTAATCGACAAATATAATTATGTGGACATAATAACCCTCCTTGTGGATCTTCATATGTCTTGAGATGATCTGTGTTAAGCTTCATTATCATTTGTATACTATAGATAATTTTGAAGGTTAATCTACATTAACTCTTACCATGATCACCCTGTTAGTCACCTTATAGGAACCATTTCTACAATCAATGTCTAATTCATGTTAGTGGATGCTGGGCAATCTCCAATGCAATTTTGAATCTAGTTAGCTCCATATTCATAATAATTATATCTATTTTCCAATTAAAGTTTAAACTCTTTACATTATGAGGTATATGATAAATCACATGAAGTAAATCATTGGCTCGCTAATATTACCTCCAATAGCTCTAATGAGCTAACCATATCACTTTTGATGTCTAAAATAATGACTAATCCTTGATTAGCTTACTCTAGGAAGTTGAGGAAATTCATATGATTATTCTGAAAGAATTATCTTTTTTTTTTATGTCTGTTTGACCAATCAACCTCTTATTATCTTCGAACATCAATAATGGAACCACCTAATCAACCCCAATTTATTAGATCAAATGATAACATACTAAAAAATTAACACCAATAATTCATTTATGGGCCTATATTATGTAAGTCCTAAATGCATTTGAATCCTTATGCTTCCTCACCCATTAGATGGATTGTAAATCACTACACTCTTTAATGTTACTTTAAAAATAGTCTCATTTAGTTCCATCCACTCTACCAAGCAATGTAACCACCTTCAGGAAGAAAGTAAGCATGCTAATCTTCTAAGAATTTATTGAACAATTTATATTTTATTGATTTCTGATATTTTTTTTTAATAGATAAAAGCTATCATTTTCAATTAGATTAGAAGTTCTTTTTGGCAAAGAAAAAAGCTTTTCCATATATATATATATATATAATTACTTTTTTTTTTGAATAATTGCAGCATTGCATTAAAAGAGAAGCATCAAAGAACAAAATACAAGTAATAAAAGGATCACATTCCTCCTTGATTAAGTCCATCAAGAAGGAAGGGATACCTTCTAAAGAAAAACTATCAAAAGAAAAACTACTTTCTAATGCCAAAGTAGCACAACAATTAGCTACTTTATTACAATATCTATAGGCATGATGGAAAACAACTTTATTGAAATCATTTAAAAAAAATAAATCCTTTGCCGGCCACTTATCCAAAGGCCATTTATTCTTCTTCAATGAGTCTTGAATGAAATGGATAATATTGACATTATCGCCCTCAATGATCAACCCCTTGCATTCCAACATCCAACTCTTAAGGAACTCCTTCATCATAATAACTGCTTCCATTTCAAGCTGGCCCACATCCCAATGGATATTCTTCTTCCCAAATGAACTGATCAAACGGCCTTTATGATCCCGAAAAACACCACCAATACCACCAAGATTGGAGCTAAGCAAAGAGGCATCTAAGTTAATCTTAATCCAATATTTCGGTGGAGGGCACCAAGTATTTGGAGACTCCCTAAGGAGATTAGTACCCCAGCTAGTAAGATATGGACTAGATTTGGAAATAGCTAAGAACAATGCATTAGAAGCAACCATAGAACAAGGCAATGCATCCTTACCATGCTTCACATAATTCCGGTTCTTCCAGGATAAATATACCACTGAACAATAGATCTTGGCAATACCAGAGTTACAATTTGATAGCCTTTTAAGCTCATGTAAGCAGCAATCCAAAGAACTGAAAACAGGAATCATAAAACCCCATTTACGCATCTTCATGATGACTTCCAACATATATTTACAATGAACCATTATATGTTCATATGATTCAACCACTTGGCAGCCTCTAGCACAAACATCAATCTCAGTGATCCTACGGTTCTTAAGAAAAAGATTAGTAGGAATCACAGCTTTACCTAACCTCCACCAGAACATTTCAACCTTCTTACTGAGTTTAAGCTTCTGCAACCATATGTAAAAACCAACATCTTCAAAGGTATATCTGTTGAACAACAACTATTCATATACCACTACAGAGACTGTCTTACCCAAACACCATTTCAGCAGCTCCATACTATCCTCCTCCACATAATCAATTTGAATTTGTCTAATAAAAAAAATAAGCTATGGATGAAAGGCCCTTTGTAGCAAATTGAGATTCCATTCACCATTGTTTACCAAAGGATGTTGAACAAAAATACCATCCAGCAATTCACAGTCCACATATGTTGGCCATCGATTAATGCTTCTATCCAGCTGTTGGAGAATTTTTGTATCCTCAAACGGATTGCATATTTTATAATCGGGCACGGCATAAGAATACGATATATTATCCCGGAGGGCAAAAATACCAATTTTTTATGGGCTCAATAATAAAATTTACAATTATTTAACAGAGATTCTCCCACTCAATGTTTGGTCGAGCGGGGTTTATTTA